AAGCACATCTGCCTTTCTCGGAATTCAAATGAACTTCATACTCACCACATTAACAATGTTGCTCTTGAACCTGTGTTCTCTTATAGGTACCTCCTTGTTCACATTGCTTCTAGCCTATCCTGGAAAACTCATATCAATCATATCATAAATAACGCCAATTGCATGCTTGAGTATCTTTGCAGAAACTTTTCTAATTCACCCAGTTCGATAAAATTACTGCTTTATAAAACACTGGTTTACTCGAAATTAGAATATTCTGCATCTGTTCTGGAGCCCTGGCATTGATTCACTCATCTGTAATCTCGAAGCTGTCCAAAATCGTGCCTGTTGTTTTATACTCTCTATCATTGAATAAGTAGCGAAACCACTACGAAATCAAGTTTATCCCTCCCTTCTCTCATCGCAGGTCTGTCGTTTCGTTATGTCTTTTTCATAAAATTTACCTGAAAAACAACTTACTCACAAAACCCTCATATATATCAGCACGCACTGATCACCGCAATAAACTTGGAATTCCATCATGTCATGCAAAATGTTTTCATGACTCATTCATACCCAGAACTTGTGTCAGTTGGAACGACCTTCCCCTCAACATCGGACATAACTCATATTAATTTGTTTTGTGAAACAATTGCTATTGTGTGAATATATTTGTTTGTTACTGTTTGTAAAATTTTTCTTTATCAAAGTTGTTCTTTTGTACTCCTGCTGCAGCTATTTCTCTTTATTTGTCTTGATGCGAGTTTTACCAACCACTTTGTAGTTTTTTCTTTTATGCTTTGATGTTTTTTTCTGTATTCTTATGTATCCCCACTCCCCTCTGTAATTCCTTCGGGCCCTGTGGGTACCATAAATAAATAAAATAATAAATGAAGCACCTTGATAAATTGGTCAGGTGTAGAAAAAAAGGTAGAATATGATACATCATAATCTTGTGGAAAATGCTATGTCAGGCACGTGGGTTGGTGTTTCAACAATATATTATGAGGCCATAAGGCTTTATTGAGAGAAACACCTTGTTCTAATTTTCCTTCACATTGCAGGGAGTGCAGCTGCGCACTTTTGCTATCAGAAACTAAGGTGCTCGAAAGATCAAAAGAAAAAGTTGCGCAAGAAATTGCCACTGAGTTACATTATTAGAGTGCCTGCCACTAATAGAATTTATTTTTTGCTAATGTGACTCGCGATTGTGACCTTGTTCAAGTATATATATATATGTGTGTGCCTTTCGAATAAATTCAGTTGATAGTTTGTGCTTTTCAGTCTCTCGTCTTTATTTCGTGCTAAAAGCTACCGTGAGAACTAACTTTATTGTTCGTTCAACTCGAGGATCGGTTCATTCCTCCTCTTCTTCCCCACGCATTTCTTGGTGGTGCAAAAGGATGGAAAAAATTGTCGACCTGCGACACGCTGGCAGTGCCACCTGCGGCACCGTGGCGCACTTAGAGTTCACTACAAGACACGTATACTCACCAGCCAACCAGCTCATTCTTCTAGTGTTTGTGGCCAGCCACAAACAACACAGAGACTACCTTATTGGGTAGATTGCACCTGAGGCCTACACAGTAACTACAGTTCATCCGGTGCTCCGGTACTGGGAAAACAAACAGCTCAGGTGATGCATAAAAACTATACTACTAGAGCGTGTCATGCAGGAGATTCTTACAGTTTTCAATGCAAAATTCTCTAAGCCCGTCATAGAAGGGCAAAAGCTTCACTGTCGATGGGAATTTTTCCTCTGTTAGAGAATGATGCTTCTGATCTCGAGAGTACAGGCTGGCACATTTAATTGGAGGTTATGTTCCCAGACATAGCAAAAACTTTGCTTCAAGGTGTGCCTTCATTGCAGCTTGCTTTCCACTGAAACTAGCTTAATCCCTAGCTCTACCTAACCCATACTCAAATAAGAATAGTATGCCAAAGAAGCACCGTGTTTGCTGCAATATCAAAGGCTCACATCGAGTTTTGCATAACAAAAAGCACATTACCATAGTGACTATAGGAGCGAAATCACAACTAGAAAAAGGGCCTTAATGAAGTTGCTGGCCATCAGCAGTGCCGACATGGTCACCGAAAAGAAAAAAAAACTGCTAAGGCGCGAACAGACTGAGAGCAAGAAAAGACACGGACCAACAGACATGGGCACCGTCTCGCGATTTCACCATTACGTGTCTTTTCTTTGTTTCCATCCTCTTTACGCTTTACCTGTCTTTTTTTTTTCCTGAAGTATAAATGAACTAACTCAGCAACAAGCCCTGATGCCTTTCTATTGGCAAGAACATTTAGTACTAGTTGCCTAAATACTTCGGCAAAAATCTGCGGTTTCCTTAAAAGAGAGCATGAAACAATCGCAATATTACAGGCGATGGACACAGAGACAAAATAAATCAGGAGCAGCAGTCACTAGGCAAAATTTCATACACGTCTAAGAAGTCACCTATTAACAATAATTCAGAATTTATAGGATTTTGCATGCCAAAACCACAATATGGTTATGAGGCACACCACAGAATCACCTAGGGTCCTTCAATGCGCCCCTAAACATAAGCACATGGGCTTCCAGCAAAAGGTGACACTCTGGCCAGGATCGACCCCATGATGACTTTCAGCGCAGCAACTGAGCCTTTCATCGCCACAGTGGCAAGATGTTCTCATGAAGGCTGCAGAGCATTGACTGCAGAAAAATAATGCTGTGCATGATTTGTAGGGGTTGCTGGCCAACAACATAGCCATCATGACTCCCCCCCCCCCCCCCCCCCCAAAAAAAAAAGAAGGGCAGGTAAGGCACAAAGCGGACGAGGACGAAGACAGGAACTACAGTCTAACATGGCTTGAGAGACACGGACATCATTTCGTGTCTTCTCTTCGTCCCCGTCCTTTTCGCGCCTTAGCTGTTTTTTTTTTTCGTTTGTTTGTTTCCAAAGTAAAACTAACTAGCTCAGCAACAAGCTTTTGAATTGGCAAGAAGATTTTCTACTAGTTGCCTAAACATTTCCCACCAGCTGCTCAAACAAATATTGCCACACACTCCTTTTGTTATATATGTTTAATGTTACCGGCCTATTGCATCAGGAGATACTGCCTTGTGCAAACATCACCAGAATGTCTCGGAGCATGCCTGATTATTTTGGGACCACCTGTTAGGCTTAAGTCCGTAAATGCGACCAGCTGAGTTTGTTCTCGAACAAACGCAGCTACCAGTGATACTTCTCGAATGTATAAATGTCGACGCGCCTTGTCGTAAATCACATAATTGACGCTCTGTTCGCCGCTATCAATACACAGCGTCTATCGCTTGTAATTTGATTTCCTGTTTATCGGGCAGAGGTTTCCCAAAGAAAAGCTTTTGTCTTGACCCCTTCATCACTGCTGTTTTTTTCAACGCCAAGTCTACAAGACAAAATCTAGTGTAGTTGCTACAATGGGTATGCCAAATGAAATCAGCCTACATTAATCAACTCCTTGTGATGGATGTCAAAGTACATAAGATAACCTCTAAAGATACAGATTGCTTAGTGAAAATTGACTGTTTTGAACATAATCAGACGTTCTATGTAACTGCAAAACTCAAGATAACCATTACAAAAAGCTTATATAAATATGCTAATAGTAACTTTACCAACCAGTTAAACACACACACACAAATATATGGCTAAATGCATGAGACTACAATTCAAAGTGCTTTCCACTGACTAAATGCAGTGCAAAGCAATTTTAACTCTTATAGCAATGTACCGTAATTGTTGCACCTTCTGCATATATCAATAAGAACAAACAGAGAACACCAGCAGTATTGTCTGGTAGTTCTTATTGTGTCGAACAAACAAACAACGAGTTCCCTTTCTACTTTTTTCTAGTGCATATATGGCATCATAAAGCTTTTACCTAATGGTATGTGACTGTGCGCTGGGTAGTTTCGATTTTTGAATTACACAGACCATTAATGCTACTACTGAAACTTGACTGATGAATTAAAGGGTAATTATGTAAGGATTACAATGCAGGTTATAACACACCCCAGCAACTAAGCGTTTTTCCCTGGAGCATGTAGTGAAGGAGTGCCGACTTTCAGGTTCAATCACACACAAAAACAGTTATGAAAGTGGACTCACGAGTAAACACAGACTCTGCGATTTCTACATACTTGAAATATTACACAAAAAAGGCGAGTGCTGCACTGGTAGCATTCTAGCTAACGTACATTTCAGACAAGAAAACGAACAAATTTTTCTAATCAAAAAGAACTTGTTGGGCTAGTTGGTGCACATTTCGAAAAATCAACTTGAGCGCTAACACACGAAACATTCACACACACACACCCAGGCATTGAATGCTGTGCGTGTTTGATGCCTAGGTGTGCGTGTGTATATGTGAATGTGTTGTCTGTTTGCACTCAAATTAATTTTTTGAAAATTTTCTAATCTATTATGTCATACAGTAATTCTAAAGTGTCTAGCACTCCCAAACGAGGCGTGGCATACAGGAAAGTTACAGCTATGTCAGCCTTCTATAGATGCCATCATATTTTTTCAACCTAAACACGGCACGATGTGCTGTGCCTCAATCAATCTGTCAAGGAACCCTGAAACACTTTTTTTCGAAACCTGAACAAGCTGGAGAACACTTTATTTTAGAACATTTTAAACAAATGGAGTAAAGTAATGAATTAAGCTTGACAATCTCACTGGCAACAAGCTAAAAAGGCTGGAGAAGCACATTATCTTAGAACATATTGAACACATAGAGTAATGAAGTAAACTTAAGAATCTGACTTGCAATGTGTAACTATGCGCCTCTAAATATAGCACTGAATGCCTTTGAATATACCATAATAATAGCGCACACTGCCAAATGATATGGGGATCTTGACCAGTGTCCATTAGGTATTTATAAACATCATCATAATAAATGAGTCGTGCAGTATGTATGCTGAACTCTCGAGGCAAAGCTTGTTAATTGCACAAGACTGACATTGCTAAAAACTTCATGAGATCATAGTGTTGTTGAATACAAACAAAACAAACAATATATTTCAAAAAGAACGTTAACAAAATCACAGGGGTCACGTTTATTCACAAGGACTGTCCACCTTGTGCCATTCTTTGTCTTTCGAAATTGCACCTGTAGAATGTTCCTGCAGCATTGCAATTTCTTTCTTCAGGTTGACAATCTGGAAAGAAAAAAAAAGAAGATTGCCTAAATCATAAAAGAAATTTACTCTCGTGTTCATGCAATGCGGAGTGTGAACATTGTTATACCGTGTCCAACTAGATTCCTTGGTTATGCTCATGTTAGCCATAATACAAATTCTCACTTACAACACCGTCACTGTCATCCAATGACAATTCATCAATCTCAACAACAAACTTTGTAAAGTGAGCACATCAACTGCATTGGAGATTGTTGCCCTGCGAGATGCTATCGATTACCATATACCCTAAATACAATAGACCTCCATAGTGAAGTGAATTCAGGTCTTTTGTAAAAGGAATATGTAAAATTCTGTTTTTACCCTCGATTTCTCCCAGAATGTACCACAACTCCCCCGTCAATATTTCAGCGGTATGGCACGGATCGTTATATCAGCTCAGGAAATTTCTGAACTCATCAACAACTTGAAAACGTCAAGTGACAACATCCCATTGACAACATCTATCCAAATTTCTAAAAAGTATGAAAGTTGTTTCGGGCAACTTTTTGCACATTATTTTTACCCAGTCACTCTTAAAGGGCCAAATTTCTGAGGACTTAAAGATGGCCAAAGTCACGCTGTTATTCAAAAAAGGTGACCGCTCTGATCCATCTAATTACCGCCCCATATCACTGAAATGCGTGTCTTGCAAAATATTAGAGCACATAATATTTTCCCCTATCCCCTGTGATCTTGAAGATAACTCTTTCTTTTACAGCAAGTAGCACGGTTTTCACCCTGGCTTATCATGTGAAACGCCGTTGGCTGAATTCACAACTGACCTGCGCTTAAACCTTGATTCATCTTATCAAACTAATGCCATATTCATCAACTTCTCAAAAACTTTCAACCGCGTAGTCCACCGTCGTCTCATAACTAAGCTCTGCACTCTAAATCTCGACCAACTTACACTGTCATGGTTAGTAAGTTCTTTGACAGCTCGTTCACAATTCACTTCTATTGTTGGAGACTTTTCCGCCAAAACAGATGTGCTTTCCAGGGTTATTCAAGGATTGGTCCTTGGCCCTCTTTTGTTCCTCATATTCATCGACGAGTTGCCATCTGAAATTACCTCATCCATTTGTCTTTTTGCCGACGACTGTGTTGTGTATCGCAGGATAATCAGTAGTACGGATCAATCATCACTACTGCAAGATCTTAACATTATCGAAGCATGGTACCCGCGCTGGCTCATGGAACCAAATGTCTCCAGACGCAAACACCTGCTCACTTCTCACAAAAAATTCAACCTTATTTTTCAGTACACCTTAAACTCCACAGTAATATATCAAGAAAAAAGTCCTACCACTACCTGGGTGTCTTCATAAACAGTATCCTGACCTGGTCAGACCACATCATCAAACTTGCACCAGATGTGTCCAGGACCCTTGGATTCTCCAAACGATTCCTGCGTCCCTCCCCTCCTGCCGTCAGAAAACTTCCGTACGAAACGTTCGTAAGGACCAAACTAGAATTTGCTTCCGCCATTTAGAGCCCCCATTAAGATTACCTCCGATCTTCTCTTGATTCTTGGGATGTAAAAACAGCACAAAAAATATAGACAAGGACAGAGAAAGAGACGACACCACACTGAACTCGCACCTAAACTTTATTGGAAGACACACGCACATATATCATGCAGTCGACCCGGTCACGTGGCAAACCAAAGGCGTCTGCGCAGCATACCAAACAAGGCATGAAACATGCCTAATCTTAGTGAACAGCAACACGTGTGTAACACACCTTCATGCTTGCCAAAAACGTATGAAACGGTTCATAAAAAACTAATAATCACTTTAACATGGCAGCGCTGAACCCAAGTACCGAACCTCCTTTTTACCAAGGGCCACAGACGGCTTGATCACACACCTATCCCCCTCCCTTTCAATGAAAAAAGCCTCCATCACTTCACTAGTGCACTTATCCCGATGGCCGCACAAACAAGTGGCTTTATCTGCCATAGGTTGGCAGCCACACTCCCTACAATGATCTGGCAAGTGCAACCTGCCAGCAGCCCTTGAAGAGGTCAAGTGTTCCCTTAGTCTCACGCTAATGCACTGCCCGGTTTGTCCTATATAAACTTCTCCACATGACAATGGCAACATATATATAACACACGATTTACACTGGATATCTATTTTTTCTCTTCTCCAGACAGAATGCGCAGGTCTTTCGTAAACTAAGAACTTCTTTTATGCACGCGGGAGCAAATAGAGGACAACTTCTTGGGAGCGGACATCACTACCCCATACCTACTAGCCACATTTTTCAAGCGATGTGAAAACTTGTGCACATAGGGTAGGGTACTACAACTGGTTTCTTTTCATTGCGCACGCGCTCTGTTCTCCTGTGCGTATCACTTACGCTTTTGACCCACTTGATTAGCTTTTGATAACTCCTCAAGATTTCCCTATCACCCACCAACTTCAGCTTCTCAATCTGGCTCATGAAACTTTCTTTCGAAACGTTTTCAGAAGCGCACCCTCCAGGGCAGCATAAATAATGCCGGACTTAACTATCTTAGAATGGCCTGAGGTGAACGGCAAGATACGCTTTACGGATAGGGGCTTGTACTGCTTACACAAATGTTCCTCATGAAACTGCAGTCTAATATCTAGAAACTGAAGCTCATCTTTTTCTGGCAGCTCATAGCTGAACCTTAGCCCATGGCCAGAATCCTTAAAAATGTTTAATATGTCAGCTCTCATGCTATGCTGACTGTCGGTTTTAATTACATTAAAGAAATCATCAACATACCGAAAAATGTGGCAGGACACAATTCAATTATGTCCCGCAATTTTAAGGGTTCTCGCCCATGGCCAGAATCCTTAAAAATGTTCAATATGTCAGCTCTCATGCTATGCTGACTGTCGGTTTTAATTACATTAAAGAAATCATCAACATAACGAAAAATATGGCAGGACACAGGATCAATTTATCGGCAACGGACCTGTCGACTTGTCTTAGGAAAATATTACTTAAAACTGGTGCCACCCTAGATCCGATGAAACACCAGATTTCTGGACACAAAAGCCCCCTTTCCACTCCACACACATTGACTGCAAGTAAAAGGTCAGCAGCTCCAGAAAGCTTTCCAAGGAAATGCCACAACTGTCAACGAACTTCACTTCATTATTGTCCTCAATCACACATGATTTAACACTCTGCAGAAGTGCAACATGAGGTATGGAGTAAAACATGTCCTAAATGTCGATGCTGAAAGCCAAACGAAAACCCGGGTTATTAGTTTTGAGAAAATCTACTACAACTTCAGAGTTCTTTACTACAAAAGGGTCGACTACATTAAGGGCTTCTAGGTGCATATGCAAGTAAGTCGACATCTCAGACAGCTAAGTTCCTTTTTCTGATATAATTGCTCTGAACGGGGAATGAAGTTTATGGGTTTTCACTGAGAAAAAAACCTGCAAGTCTTTTGCCTTTTTTATTTCACTGACTAGACTGGACAGATTCTTATCTTGCAGCATAGAAATAGCCTGCTGTTTCACCTTCCCTGTTTAACGTCTAATCTTTTGAAATTCTTCAATACGGCTGTCTGAGATTTTTCATTGAAAACGCCCTTTTTCATGACCACAAACATTCCTTCCTTATCCAACAAACAAACCCTAAGCCCATTCCCCTCCAAACATTTTACGACCAACTTGTCAGGGGAGAGTCTTCGCCTAGCCAACGACGTTTGAGTGCACACATTTATACAATCAGACACGCACCTTATTTGCTCGCCTTCAGGCACATACCGGAAAAAGCAACCTTTTCCACCGGTGGAACATTAGGTTCAAACACGAGCTTGGGTCCCAGTTTTAAAACCCTGTTAACATCCTCTGGGGTAGGACGATCACCGAAGGCGCACTTCACCTTGGGTCAGTCTTTTCTTTTTCCTGGTAGGAAGTGTCGGTCGCACCTTGCCCCAAAGGAACTCGGTGATTTCCTTGGTCATCTTCCTCCATTCTTTCAGGGGACGCTGTTGCCTGTATGTTGGCTCAGTCAAGCAGGCTGCCACCAAACAGTCTTGGAAAAAACGAACTTGCCTCCACCACTGAGAGCACAAAATGCAGCACATCCTTCTGGCGTGTCCCACCGAAGGTTTGAGGAGCCCGCAAATCCGTTGTAGTTCCGGAGGGCACAAGCTCTGTTTTATATACCAAGAGCATACCCTTGCTCTGCACACACACAGAGCCATGGTAGAAGCCAAGGAGGCAGGGTCATTGTGAAGAACGTCGGGATAGAGAGAAGAGCCCGATGCACAAGAAATAAATTGCAATAAAACTCGGCAGATCCCACGCACCTGGGAATCGACGTTATGCGAAGCATGCGGAGGTAAGGTGACCGTGTTGCAATTTTATTGTGGGACATGTCATGAAATGACACTACATATATGTGCAAACGTTACACGCACAGACATATGTTGAAGAGTTGCATATGTTTACATAACCAGTTATTTGCACTTGCGCAACGATGTCAACTGGAACATACGTATTAGCAACACCAGAAGTTAGTATGAAGCACTGATGCTCGCGAGGATGCTGGCCCTGGACGCTGCCACATAAATCAACCTCAGCGCATGGCAACTAACCATAATTGACGTTAACCCGAAGTGACGGATGTAAGAAAGGAGCACATGTGTAATGTTTATAAAATTGGGCAGGCAGCACTGCAACCAGTATTGACGTTTCACAAAGATTAAGGTCTATTTGAAAAGTAGTTCCGAGAACTGGTGTAGCTCTGTGGTAAAATGTTTCATTGCCATGCAGAACGCTTGGGTTCGATTCCAGCTGGAACCCTGACATTTATTCTTTGCATTGGTGGGGACGATGCTACCTATTTCAGGTATTTCTTAATGCTTGCACGTTAAAATCGCCAATTTGTGTTCTCGTCATTCCTGGATAGATACTAGTGTCAATCACCTGTGGCACATACCCACATACCAGCGACACATACCTACCCCTGGGTATATGCCACTG